CGGGCGGTGATTCATCGGCCTGCCTGCAGTGGGCGCTCAATAACCTGACGAGTCCGAACGAGCAGAGTGACCGCCCTTGTTTCTTCCAAAAACCTTTCCCCGGGATTTTTTGGGGGGGGGTACATACCATAGAAAACTGCATCTCCCCTCGACGCTTAACGGCAACAGAGGATGAAAAAGTAAAACTAAAGTAAAGTACATACCCGGTACCCAAGAGCTGACATTACACAACACTCATTACGCTTATCATTCTCTTGATCATTGGTTGGTTCTTCTTTTAAAAAACGAGGTTTATTAATTAACTAAATTTTGTAATCGACCTTCTGTTTCTTAATTATTAATGTTAAGTTGATGAAAAACCGACTATGCTGAAATGGATGTTTAATGTAATTGGATAAAATTGAAACACAAAAAAAATGTTTTTGGTTTCTTAAAAAAAATAGTTTCAGTGAGAGTTTTACAGCACTCGCAACACAATCAGGCCATAATAATGTAAGTTCCAAGATTACTGGTGTTATTAGAGGGTGACATGCAAACAAGAGAAAGGAGCGAGGTACGGACGACAGGTGTCCAACATGAACAAAGGAGAAAACCACACTAAAGCACCCACCAACCCCCAACGACTCAAAATACTATGATCTGCAACCATTGTAACAATGACGAAAACACGACTTGAATGAAAAGAAAAAAAAAAAAAGACAAGCAATTCAGGACTAGTTTCAAATAAGACAAGAGAGAAGACAGTTAACAATAAAATATTAAGCTAAATTAAAAACCGCGAAAGTAATCTCATAAAACCAGCGAAAGTAAGCTCCGATCATAAAACCAGCCAAAGTCATCTCTCCCGCCGGCCAACCTGGGCACCGGTACAATAACAACAACAGACGCTGGCTGATGTAAAAGCGCCCGCCCACGTTATTGAGGCCACCTTATTGATTGATTTTGAGGTATCGGCGGAGTAGCTGGTGGGGAGGGGAGGGGAGGGGGACTTTTTGGGTGGGGTCGGGAAAAGCCCCGT